AGCTCCTCGCACACTAGCGACCCCCCCTTCTTTTTCTCCAGCCTATAGTGGATCCTAGTGGATTGTTTGTGATACAGCAACAAATACCTACAAATCCAAACCAAACCTGTAAATCCACGGGAAATCAAACGGATCCTGTTCTCCGACCGTGCGAGCAGGATGGAGCCGAAACTCGCGAAACACGCACGCCGACACGGCTCGCCACAAAGGTCGGTGAACGCTTCGGTCACATCATCCCCAAACAGGTGAAGAATACCGCAGCGCATACCGCAACGCGTACGTTGAAGAATACCGCGTACGCGCGTAGCTGTTCGGAAGACCGAAGACCGCGTAACGTGGAAGAATACGGTCCGACTGCTCCTCGAAGCCCAGGACGCTTCGAGTGGCATTCCAGAAGGGCGCGACCATGCCTGGAGCGAGCAAGCCGACACGACTGCGTCGAAAAGCAAAAAGACACGTCTCCAGCTTGGGCAGGTTGTGAACTGAATTTTGGACGAAGAACAAGGACTTTCACCCTGCCGAGACTCTCATGATCTCTCATGGATGGCCAAGGTCCGGATCGTAGGACCGCTTGCGACCCTCGGACCGTTGGGCGGCCGCCTGGGTTTCTACGGCGATTTGGCTGGAGGGTCCTGTCAAAAAGAAATCCTCTTATACAGTACCAGGGCCCCCGGACGGGGGTGGTTTTCATGGACACCCCGAATCACCTCTATAAGGAGCTAGCTCTTGTTAGACACCCCTTAGGCTTAGGGGACCCAGGTAGTGATATCTTGCGACCGTTCACCTCTGGAAATTGCCGGGTACTGTATAGCCTCTGTGGATGGCACAATGACCGTGTTGGTGAACAAATCCAAACAAACGACAAGCAAAACGACCAACCTTCCTCCAACAGGTCAGATACTGACTCCAAACGAGTCCAAAATGAGACCTGTTGGAGGAAGGCTGGTGCTTGCAAGCCTTTTGGATCTATATCTTGAAGATTCAATTCTCCCCAGGCAGCTGGATTCTCCCGTGGCATATCAACCAATATCTCACGGCATGGCGGTCTGGGGTGCTATGAAAATCCTGAGAGACTCATGGGACTCCATCCAGTGGCTCCGCTACGCGCGTAGCGCGCGCGCAAGCGCGCGCGCGTGCTGCGCCACATGTGGTGTCCCTAGGCCTTGTCCGTGGAGGATGGCCGGGTTGGGGAGGGAGATGAGCTTTTCGGCCGTCTTGGCCTGGGATGTTGAGCGAGGGACAGAACTGCTGGAGCACCCGAGGTCAAATATATAGGAATACCCAGACGCTCCATGTATGCCATTTGCATCCATTGGCCTTCATTGGGGTCAATGGGGCAGTCCCATGGAGTGTATGGGATATACATATATATATATATATATGCAATAAAACAAAAAACCTTGACGCTTGTAATTTGTGGGACTTCCCCAATCCAGGATCTCTTCCATCCGCCATCCCCATCCATGCTTGGTGTGTGGAGATCGTCAGTGATGCTTTGGTATAGGAGCTTAAGGAACCATTTGGGTGTGTATTAGAATAGGGAGACGGACACCTGGAAGTTTCGAACTAGATCAGTCTAAACCCAGCCAGGGTCCAAGGGGTCTCAAGTGATGCACTGATGTGGAACATATGAGGACCCACGGTCGGGGGCCCCTTAATTCAAGAAACCGGCCCGTTGAATGGGATCCGAAGGGATCAGATCCATCCCATTCATCCCGATCCGGCCTCCAGTCGTACCTTCTCCGGGTCCAGTGCCATCTCCGGGTCCAGTCATAGCTTCGTTTCGGCACGACAGCTAAGCTCCAAGCCCTAGAGGGAATATATTCACCCATAAACTCATGACCTCGCGAAGCCACGGTTCACTCACAACTGCATGGAAGCTGTGATCACCAACAAAACAAGGCGCACACACACAACGAGGCACAAGAACAGTGCCACCCACACTGAGAGTCCTTTTCCTTTCGCACCCAACCTCTCCAGTCCAACTTCAAACCACCATTCCCACCATTCGAATCGGCCAAGATTGGGTTTCCGCATGCCACACCAGCATGCCACCGCGGCATGCCCGTTCCAAGCACCCACACGAGCGGGCCAAAGGAGATGTGCAACGTCGCGTCCGTCGTGTAGGCCTGGCTTCTTCGCTTCCAGGAGTCCAAGCTGAGTGGAGGAGCCCGGAGGACCCTGGAACTCGGAGTGATTAAGCTCTTCCTGCTTTGGAAGATCAAGTACGGGTTTCAGATGGGGGCCATGGGGCCTTGAGATCGTCACCGCGAAACATATTTTGGGAGACCTACTGAATTTGGCAGACACAACGGATTGGGCGGTGATGATTCGGCTCCGCAGATGGTTCGTTCACCCAATTTGCCTTGCCGACACAAATATATACTGTATTTAATTCTATTAACTGCTGTTTTAACAGAGTCGTCGTCAATATGTTTAATACTTATTTACTTAATGCAGTCACCTGACGTAACAACTGCATCACAAACAAACATCAAGCATTTGCTGGGGGTCGACTGATCTTGGAGTACGCAAATTTGAAGACCGACAACAAGAAAGGTACCAACGTTGGATCCGCTTGAGAAAGCGGAACAAAGAAAGAACTCACCCTTCACTATCTTCACTCTTCACACAACCTTCACACACCCATGCGGCAAAAATGAGTGCGCGCGTGCGCCTCACCACAATACTTCACCTGGGAGGGATCAACGAAGGGGAGGAAGGGCAAGTGATGGTCCAAACTCCAAAGACTAAGCCATGGAGTACTCCCTCACGAACCTTGGCCTTAGACCTCCTTCATCCAACAAATCCTTCTAAACACAACACTCAGCCTCACTAGCACTTCCCTTCCCACCACTAAAAAAAAACTCCTACGTTCGGCCCTGACAGCATGTCTTTTCGGACGGACGGACAATGAACCTCACAGCACTCGTTGACCGAGCTGGTCCTCCAAGTTGAATGAATTGGACGGATTTCAACCGGACGGAGTCGATGAGCCCGCTCTTAGCTAAAAGGCCACATCTTCCCTAAGAGCGAAAGGGAAAGAACGAACGCATATGAGTCACTTCTGGGGGGAAGAAACAAAGACAAGAACTTCTGAGGGGAATCATCACAAATCACAAAGAAGAAAGAAACAACAAGACAAGGGGAGGGCCACCTTTCTGTGGCCTTTTTCAACACCTGAAGGCATCGGAACCGGTTCCCTCGCCTTGCCATCATTAAAGCTCTTCCTCCACTTGACGGAAAAAAGGTGCCTCACTCGCAGCCGCGGCCGTTTGAGAGCAGTGATGTCACAAAAGAACGGGTGTTTCAATACGAACACCTAGTTTCTCGGGGTGCCATTTCCCCAGGTTTGAATGGTCCGCAGTGAACGGGACCTTGTCCTATTATTATATGCCCTATGCCCTAATGGTGACTATATAATAAAAAGATCTAAAAAGTTGAACATGTTGGTGGTCCTCTTCTACATGTATACTGACCCTCCTCTGCAGTCCTCCCAACAAAAACTTCCTGCCATGGTCCCAGCGAACACCGCAGTCTGACCAGTCTCTTTGGTCTTCGTGATATCGGGACTGCCGTCGGGACTGCCGGAAGGCCATCAGGTGGGATGATCAAGAGGGTCCTCCCCGCCCCTAACTTGTGTGTCTGCGCCTGGGGAAAGAAACTCCCCCAAACCCGAGAAAACGACCCAACACGGGGAAACTTGGGCCGGTCAACAGTAACTTCGGCAGGTGCATCACGAGACGCTTTCTCGGATCGAGCCAGGCTGGGTTGCCCCCGCTGCTGGCCCAGGACAGTGTCGTCATCCAAAGCGCTCAGCACCTTCCAAGCGGAGCTAAGGATTTGCAGCTCCGCAGGCTCCGGCGAAAGAGCAAAATAGGGGTGCGCCCTCCCAGTTCGATGGGAAATACACCAAAACCCTTAGGTCTCCACAGTACACCCACAAAATATAGGACCAGCAGTTTCAAAAGAGTGGGATGTGACTCCAATTGGCACCCAGTTTAGCATACTGTCAACTGTCAACACATATATCATCATATATCTCATGGGGGATAAGATGTTGCTTAGCAGTCGATACACCCATAACTAGGGAAAAAATGTCCCGGCAAGAGACCCCAAAGAGTGCGCCTAAAGGTCTAACATGGTCTAAGGTCTAGAACCCGGCCTTAACTACTAAGAACCGTTCTGGTGTTACCACACTGTTTGAGGGCCCGAAAACCCGAAAAAAAACATTTAAAACAAAAAAAACATCCGAACACTGCGGGAGGTGGGGAACGTTTCGAACGGTCCGGCAACTGGCTGGCCTCTTGGGCTCCAGACCTGGAGTATGAGTTTTCCAGCGAAAAAGAGATTGAATAATGTTGGTGTTGAAGACAAATTCTTTTGAAAGATAGAACGCCAACAACTTCACACCATCTGAACTTCCGAGTTCTCTCCAAAATCCACACCTCCTGTTTCAGTGAGGTGCCAAAATGTGACGTGCAGCTACCGCGCCCCCTGGCTACCTCGCCTGACCAGTGCAGCCCAAGAGGAGGAGACATCTGATGCAAACTGCCTGACCGGTGATGAGACAAACCTGAATTGCATAGCCTTGCCTGTCTAGCGGTCGGAATCTCCCCTGCGGATTAAGCTTAGCCTGATTTTTTGTTTCTAGTGAATTGAATCCCTGATCCTTTGGGGCTAGAAATAGGAAACTGCATCTTTCCCCATGAAAACCGCCTGGAACCTCAGTCGCCAGTGAACAGTTGGTGACCCAACAAAGATCCAAAGCATCAAAGACCATACAAAGCCCAAGCACTCCCGCGACCCTCTCTCATAGGTAACCAGGCCTCAGTTCCTGGTTCTATGGGAACTTAAGTTCCAGCGACGAACCAGCATAATCATCTCACGGTTCCTATGTTCATATGCCTATAGATTTAAAACATATATGATCATATATGAATGCTTCAAAAGGTTGTAAGAGCGCCAAGCTCAGTTTTGAATCCCGCCGTCCACATATGTCACAGGATCTTGCCTGTGATTTCATCACGGCAGCCAGTGAGAACTTTAAGTAGGGTGCGTTTCAACACCCGAGCTTCCATGTTAGTGGCCATGCATGTTGCTTGGCAAACTTTCTTTACGAATCCCATATAGCTTTCCCCACTAAAGCAGTGGAATGCCCTTGGGTTCAGGAAATTGACCAGTAGATCATCACAAATGTGATGAAGGAGGTGCAACTTCGGTAGCACCAGCCATCTCAACTTGCCCTGCATCGCCGCCACTGCTGCTGCAAGATGGTACATGTGAAGGCACAGCTTGCCCAAATCATGAAGGCCTTGAGCCTGTGTCGCCGTCAAGTAGTAGGGATACTCTTCTGTCAGCCTTTGCCATTCAGCAAAGCTAGACCTTACACGATCTAGATCAGTGAGAGTTGGCTACACACCTCCTTAGTCTTATGCCCCTGTATATGGTCCACCTTTTCTTACAGTCACCATCACACAAATTGTTGATACCAACAAGGAACACTGTTGCAATTCCAATGCTCCACAGCTGTTTGCGGTTTGCAAAGTCACCAGCCGCCTCCCCTGGACGCTGCATCAGCATGGGCTGAAGTCCTTGACTCAGCTCCACCTCAAGTTCCAGATTGGCAGGAATGGATGGTGGGGAAGGGAAGATCTTACAACCCATTTGGGGTGAGCAAAAATATATAGACTTCAAACAGGGATTGCCCATACGTCTGGGCTAAGGGGCTGCCAGCCATGCCAGAATTACCCGGGCATTGTATGCCTTTGCACACAGCCAGGGAAACGTTGGGACACCATCTGAATTTTGAGTGTGGAGGTGTTTCCATCGCCACCGCCTGTGAGAACAGCTCACCTTTGTTGCCTGGGTCCATGAACGAAAGTCTTGATAAAGATGTCCCATCGCCTCGTCCAATGAACAGTGCCATTGAAATACGCGATGTTCTGCTAAAATGATCAAGCCCTCCCCAATGATCACAAGATACAGCCCAAGGTTGTTGGTGTGCATACTGCAGAATTTCCTTGACTTGTTTGATAATAGTATTTGTTTAATAACATTCTTCCATACGTATACCATGTGACCCACACCAATTGGTGTGGGTCACATGGCAAGTGTTCAGTTGGGAGAAACGACCAAACATGCTTTTTGTAGATTTGGGAAAGGCTCAACATCTCCACGTCAACTCCTTGAACAAACGCAAGTGGATTGGGCGGTGCTCCCAAGCAATCCCGAAGCCACTCAGTGGCTGCCCTTGTTTGCCAGCTGCGATTGAAATCAGTGAACAATGGACCAAACCTGCGTGGAGGCAGCGTGAATACAGTAACCCCCATGTTTTCCATTCCCCATTCAGTGGTTCCTCGTTGAAACTATCATGGTTGGGGCCTTGGGATTCGAGATGCATTGCATCGAAAGCAAATCTTACCACACTTCCAGTAGTGGGTCCACATCTTGAAGAAAGCCGTGTGCCAGGCCCAATCGCCACGAAATTCTGTGATGGCAAATGTTGATGATAGCGAAGATCCGGCCAAACGCTTCTGACGAGCGTTCAGCTCAAACTCACAGGCCAGTCTAGTGGGAGGTCGACGCCCAGACAAAGCGATCTTGAATGACCACTGTGCTCGTTGGAGTATAGGATACAAGGTTTCCTCAGATGGAGATGCATGATCCTACTCGATCCCATGGCCAACCTGTCTGTTACCGAGGCAGAACCTAGCATTGCTGCAGCTCCTGTACAATCACACCAAAGAAGGCCATGAGAAATGGAGGGATGCGGAGGGATGAGGGATGTGGGATATGGCTTTATTAATTGTGCCAAGGCTCAGCTCCAACAGTGCCTACAGTGGTTGAAGATTGCACAAGGCAGAAAAGGAAGTTCTCAGCAAAAGCACCTGGGTGGTGGCACGCAGGTTGTTGAACATATGGCCTACATCATGTCACACAGTACTACTACATTTGCATGTTCATCCATCCACCCAGGCACGTTGTTTGTAAACCAATGGTGAGCCAAGGCAAAGAGCAATGAACTTGTCCCCATGCGTGGCTGAATACTTAGCTTCGTCTCCATAAATGAACACGGGCATGGCATTAGAACGCTTTCCTGGGTGGTTTGCAGCCCAGCTAGCCACATGACTCCAATGATCCCAGTAGCTCCTCACATCTTGGATGGACAGGAAGAGAAACACCATGTCGAAAGTGACGTGGTAGAACCACCAAACTAGAAAACCATATTCTATTCAGCTGGAAGTCTGAATGGTTGATAAATCCACTTTCAAACGGCCAGTTGACCAGAGATACTCCAGCAATTCATGAGGATCAAACATGGGAATTTGCTGTTCAATTATATCAGTGGACCCAGGCCGAGCAAGTACAGGACACGTCACCCAACTAAGATCAAGGGGAAGGCGAATGAACCTGAACATGTCCCGGTTGGCATTGTGTACCGAGAGCTTTGCCACTCGCTTGGTGATACGATGCACATTCTTGGCACCAACTTCATTCACCACCGCTTTTGCTGCACCCACTGCACCCTCTGCAGATTCACGGCCTTCTCCCAGCCGATCAAGCCTCAGCAAAGAAGGGAGCTGGCGCGATTCAATTTCCAAGGGTTAGAAGTTTGTTCATTAAAGTTAAATCATGTCATGAGACGCATTGACTGTCAGTCCCTGGGCAGACCCATCATTCTCACCATCCTCTTCACCCCAAAGGCGACCCCTTGAATGCCATGGGACAGGTGCGCAGCAAAGTCTGATGACTTGCTCGAACATGCGGAGGCATCATCTGCGTGGGAGAGGACTTGGGCAGCTATGTTGCTGGTACAAAGGGCGCACACACACAGATAGAATGTGATATATTTAAGTTTTGTTGGCTAGAGAGGTCATCAGAGATTATATATATATACTTTGGCAAGTGTCAGGGTGGGAGAGGCTTGAACTTGGAGATTCTTTTGAATCATGACTATGGAGTCCGGAGTCTTTCTTGAGTCAAGCCCTGCACTTCTTGCGCTGTTTCCTGCCACGAAGGGTCTTGCTTGAAACAAGCCGTGGCAAGCAACCACTCTCGAACTGCCTTGAAGCATGTCGCAGGTGGCAAAGATGTCTGCACGATTTGTCTTGTAAAACGAGTTTCCACTGCGAAAGCTTTCCAGGTGTCTAATCGAGGTGCTGACCATTTAGCCATCACTGGAATTTGCAACTTAATTGTCACTTGTGGCAAACGATGCCCCCACAGATATATATATAAATATATGTATATACGGCATGTTGTAGGACACTCATTGCAGCAACGCACTTGCAATATAAACTGATAATTGTTTGTAACTCTGCAGCATCAACCACAAGTGTTCAACCCCAGTCTGCAAGAAATACAAAAGTAATAAGACTTCAAGCCTTGGCTTTTTTTTCCTTAGGCTTAGTCTTTGGCTCCGCCTTTGGCTTGACAAGCGCCCTCACTGTGTTGGCAACCTTCTTGAAGCACGAGATGCTGTTTGTCAAAGCCTTGGAAGGCAGACCGGCAGACCCCTCAATCTAGGTCTTGTTTCACCTATCACACTCGTGCAGATCAAAACAGAATAGCGGCTGGGTAAGTCAACCGCCTAACATAAATTTGATACCAGGCTAGTAGCAGTGCACTTTTCTTTATGAACCGGTTCATTAGAATGCGCCAGGCTCTTCACGGCCGCATCCTTGACAACCACGAGCGCATCCGAGGACACTTTCATGTCCTTTAACAATGCCGCCTTGTAAGCATCGCTCCTGGCAGAAGGGCTTGGGCCATAAAGATATGGTGGCACCCTTGTTCAATATAAAACATTGGAAAATGGGCACCGCCATATCTTGTCTTTTGGGGTCTGCTGGCAACCTTAACAACTGGGTGAGAGAGGGAAAACGAGACGGCGATCCAATGTTAGCTAGCCAGAGATTTTGTGTTCGGGAACAGGAAGCTGGTTGCAGCCAAGATTCACCATGTCTGGTCCAGCCCGTTTGAGTTTTGCCTCCAGCTCGATGTAATCTGTCAAGCAGCGGTTGGCAACATTGTTGGCCTGCATTGAAGCTGAGAAAGAGTTTCATGAAGGTCTGAGCTTTTGGGGTTTATTGTACACATGATGCATGCAAATCGAACTATAGAATGCCTGCTCCAACAATTGCTTTGCAGTTTTCTCCTTCTTGAGATTGTCTGGGCGTGGAGGCAGTGGAGGTTTGGTCACACCAGCACCAAACGCAATCCCTGCGCTGTCAGCAGCAGCATCTTCCCTGGGGTGCAGCCCGGGGATGGCTAGAAGTCACATGAGGGTTCCAGACTCCAGAAGCCAACATTTTTGCATCTAGTGATTCAGACTGGGGCACGTCAACATCTGAAAGTCATCCTCCTCTATAGTGGCTGTTTGAGTTGCCGTGATCTCGGTACCGCTGGACTGCTTGTAGGATTGGGTAAACGTCTTAAAGCACTTGTACCTCCACAACTCCTTCTTGTCAGGGAACTGTGGATGCCTTGGCTGGAGACTGTCATTGACAGAGTAAGATCTCTAGTAGACTAGCTTCTCATGAATTGAGTTGGCAATAAAAGAAGAGCCCAGGTACACCTTAATGAACTGTCCCTTCTTATTCAATGGCAATTTTGCCTCCGCTTCAACATGACGTTGGATCAAGTCCTTGGCCAAATCTTCACCCAACTCTGCTTCCACACCTGCTGCAGTTAAGAAGTCATAGAGTTCGGTGGCCTCATTGGATGTGGCTTTGATGGCCTTGAGCTTCAGCGAACACTCGCCCCACACGCCCTTGCAGGACAACCACACGGCGTACAGCTCGTGCATCTTCGGCTTATCTTGGCGGCGCAGGTGCAGGGCAGAGGTTGATGGTGGATTAGGCCGATGTGAACCATTAAGAGGACATACGTGTTCTTCATTCAGGGTAGCAACTTTTAGAGGTGTCCGTTTTGCCTGCTTTCTTGACCTAAACACGCTCAAAAACGGACACCTAAACGATTGACCTAAATCCAGCTGGTTTGTCCAATTCATATATATTATGTATATGTATATATACACTAGTGTATATACTTTTTAGAGACCACTCAAGAACCCTCTTTGGGATGATTGTCGCATCCCCTCATCCATGTCGAGACAAATCCGCAATGAAAAACTTGGTTTTCTGACAATCCGCTTTGTTGAAGATCAGTGACAACCACCACTGAGCTGCGCCCAAGCCACTGGTCTCAGCCTCAATCTTTTTTTCCAGGACCTCATCTGGAATATTCTCTTTTGGGCCTCATGTCATGGCCGGTTGATAGGAAACAGGCACGATAGCTTCACCAACAACATGTGCTTCTTACCCCGCCAAGTTCACACTTGATTTCAACTTGTCTTTTGGAATATAATTTGTCATTGAGAGCATGGAATGTTAATGTAAACATGACCATGGACCATGGCAGTAATTGGCCGGGACACTCCGCAACTTCCTGTAGAAGCGCATGTAGAGCGCAGCCGGTGAGCAAGGGTTGCCATGTTTGTCACACCTCCAGGCTTCAGAAGCTGGCTCTGCTGGCTTTGCACTTTCGCTGGGCTCCTCAGGGTGTCCGCCTTCCTGATGCATCAACTCTGGCTCACAGGGTTCAATTGGGTCAACAGGGGCTTGGGCTTCAGGGGATTCGTGTGACTGGTCGGGGTCTGGCAATGGCGAGAAGACAGATGGTTTGCGAGTAGCAAGAGATGCTCTCACACAATCATTTTGCTCATTGGCAGCTGCTACGACTGCGGTTTCACCAGGCGAACTTCCCAGTGTCGCGGTACTACCAGGGGTTTCGGGCCATGGTGCAATCACCTCATCAAGAAGAGTGTCACGTGTGTCACCACGTCGACTTCCCCTATCATGCAATTCCTGATCAGACCAGCTGGATGTCCAGCTCTGTGCACCCCGCGTGAACACATACCGGTTCTTCCAGGGATCCCAAAACCACGAGTGTGCTTGTGGGTAGTAGTCCCACCCAGAGCTCCACCATGATTCGCCCCGGGTGCC